ACCAGACCTCTTCACATAAAGGTTGCTGAGGCACGGGTTCATGTTCCTTGAATTCTCCCGGAACCATGGCCAGCACCTGATTATAGTGGCCAGTGTCACCGAAAGTGAGAACTGAGGAGATGGAGTAGGCGTCGATTCCTTTCTGCCAGGTCTTGCCTAAGCCGGTGACAGACACACCGTCGCCATGCAATGCCATAGGCAGAGGTCGAGATCCCTGCTGGATCTGTTGCAGGAGCTCTGGTCTGCTTCCTAGATATGGCGACCCCTGCAACTGGGCAGTCCAGAAGGAGTTCAGCTTCTGGGGATCGCTCACCCCGACATACATGTCAAAAGCTTTCTCGTAGCTTTCGGCCATGGTCGAGAACCACACCTGCTGTCTGTGTGACATGTTGAGAAGAAGCAGGAGCCTGCAGGCATCCTCTATTAAAGAAGCTATCCCCTGGAGGGCGGCCCAGGCACGTGAGGCCACAGAACCTGCAGCATCTTCTCGCCCCCTTCTTTAACTGGTAGTCTGAGAACTTCCAGTTGGAATTTCGACGGCTGAAGAAGTCTCGTGATCTGACGAAACCTGGGCTGTGCAATACTGTCTGCATACAGGAACGTGCTTAAGAGGTCCTGCAGCTGAGTTAACAGGAGTAATCACTAGTCCAAGTCTGAGTTCGGAGCATGTTGTGGCTGTGATGGCTGTCCCCTCCCAAACCACTCAGCTCAGAAAGAAGACCGTGCCCTCGCTTGAGGCCGGCCGCCTCAGCATCTTGTTCGGCCAGCTCAGCCAGTCGCTGTACTTCGGGCAAGGAGAGATATCCCCAAGCCCATCTGCGAAGCAAGTAGTTGGCCAATTTCGAAGGCTGTGTCGCATCAGCCTCTTGCATCCGTTGCCGAACCCCTCGTCTGTTCGCAGCAAGTAAGGACATGATCCCTGTCTCACTCTACTGCAGACTGCAGCAGCTTNNTTCTTGGGCTCTTCCAAAACTGCAGAAGTAGGACTGCATATGCTGCTCTGCCGATCCATGCGTGCGACGAGAGGTCTCATTTTCCCGTGCTGTAGCGAGAGCGATGCGACATCACAGAAATATCCAGATTCGAACTGGATACGACTGCATTGCAGTCCGGAACACAAAAAGTGCACTGCACAGAAGACCCCTGCGTAATGCTTCCCCGTCGCGATGCAGGGCATCAGCCTAAAGCGTGTTCTGGATGTCCCGAGCCTCGGAGTACTTCAACTTGTGCTCCCTGAGGTAGGCCAGAGCTTCCTCGGCAAATGCGACGTAGCCTGGCCCGTACTGCTTTGGCCTGTACTCAACGATCAAAGTCTTCTGGTGCTTGCCA